CGCAAACACATGTTATAGCCATAAGAATAAAACCTTTAAATATAAAGAAAGTGAGCATGTAAATACATAATTTGCATAATCTCAAATACATTGATGTGTTACAGTGTTAGTTCACCCAAAAATTTTAATTATCCTAAAATTATCCCATAATTTACTCACCCTCAAGCCATAGGTATATAAGACTTTCATCTTTCATCCAAACACAATCGGAGTTATTTAAAAAATATATATTGGCTCTTCCTAGCTTTATAATGGGGGCGAATTGAGTTTTTGAAGCTCCAAAAAGCACATCTATCCATCATAAAAGTAACTCCAGTGGGTTGATAAAGGCCTTTTAAAGAGAAGCGATGCGTTTTTCTAAGAAAAATATCTATATTTGTAACTTTATAAACTATAATCACTGGCTTCCGGTAGCGCTTGTCTGAAGTATAAAATCAGTGAACATGGCTGACCGAGTTTTGCTGCCTCCTTAACCTGATCCTCCATGAGTGCAACCAAGGGGAACACAATCACAACTATCGCCTTGCCGGCCATTGGCCTGCTCAGTTTCTCGCTGACGATCGGTAATAGTTGATAAATTCAACTTTTCCCAAAACCTGTCGGGAGTAGGGCCACGACATCACCTCCATTCAAAATGTTTAACAAACACTCTTCTTGTTCGGGCTTCAGTTTGCAAATGCCGGGAATATTCTCCACAACGGAGCGAATTGCATCCCGTGTCTCCATATCCGCGGTTGTTTTCGATTTCCCTAACCTAAAATACAATCTTAAACTCGGCGCTTAGCGTCTACGTCACGGCTCTCAGCCCGCCCTCTGTTCGTTGATTGGCCGGCTGTTTTCAGGCCGGAGGAAAACTGAAAGACATGTCGATGTCTCTGAGTACAGCAGCGAACTGAAATAGAGCTAACCCAAGTCTGACGCAGTCAGGCTACCCAAATGCAGTCGCCAGAGGTAAAAAGCTAAAGGTAGGCTATAAACGAACTACAGCACGGTCCCAGGAATTCGACGTCACCATCACTATCACACATTGTTATCATTTTCACGTCCTGCGCCACGTTGTTTAAATAGCAAATGCATGTGTGCGCACATGGGCTGCTGGTCTGAAAACGAGGTGTGTTCAGGCGCATTGTTGGCGCGTTGCTATTTTGAGGCAACTGAAATAAACTGCGCCATTGAGCAACTGGAATCCGGCTTGTCCCGTAGATGATCTCCTCGCTCGCTTTAACCTCGCGCACGAGCCGATCCGTGTCCTCTCTGGAGACGCGTTCAGTCTTTATGCGAGCGATTTTCGTCATGTAAATAGCGAATCCGCCATTGTGAGAGCGCAACTGGCTTTTAAAGGGAACGTGAAAGGGAAATTCTGATTGTTTTTTTGCACGTTACGCCCAAAACACACCCATTACTCATTAAGAGAATAGGGACAACCCTTTTAGACCATGCGCCGGGAGCGCCGACCATTTTTCCCGTCGTTAAACTGGCAAAAGTGGATTCGGACTCGTCTTTGTGCACTTGCGCCATGCGCTTTAGACCATGTGCTTACATTGTTAAAATAGGGCCTATAGCATCAGCAAGCTGGCGTAAGCTCTAAGGGATCACTACACAATCTCATTATCCTCACACTAATGGCCACACTGAGTCCATGATCTCAGTGTTACAGGCCTCAGCTGTATTACTGCTTGCGAAACAGTTTGCTCCGGGTTTTATTCAGCTGTTAGCGACTTACACAGGAAATTAATTTCAGTTCCTGTAAACCCAGTGTGTTTGCGAGCACAAGAGCTGCTGTCATCATGGAGGTCAACACCAGACACTCATACACACGTAAACAATACAGGACCCGGGGTCATACGTTCTTATAGCGTCCTAATGAATGCAGTTCATACCAACGAGAGGGACTGAAACAGTGTGACGTGCATGAATGCTTGAAATAATATATATATATATACAGTATAAATACACACACACACTCAAAAGTTTGGTGTCGGTAAGATTTTTTTAATGTTTTTGAAAGATTTCTTTTTTGCGCACCAAGGCTGCCTTTATGCATCAAATAATTTTATATTTCAAAATGTAATTTACATGATCCTTCAGAAATCATTCTAATATGCTGATTTACTGCTCAAGAAACATTTCTTATTTTCAGTGTTGAAAACAGAAGTGCTGCTTAATATTGTTGAGAATACAATACAATTATTTCAGGATATACTGTATATTTGAAATAACATTTATTAATTAGGTTGTAGATTCAATAGGGCATGTTATACTAAATTACAAAACAAAAAAAATCTAATTTTTTCATAAATTTTTTTCCACCTATGAAATAATGTTCCTTTTCAAGGCCTCTTAAGTTTCAACCAAGGGTTGGTGGTGTTTCAAACCTTTTTTAAAGTTCAATCAATGGATCCCAATGGATACAATTAAGTCCCATCCAGGGTTTTCTCGTTGAATATCCTATTTCGCTCCAAACTATATCACAGAAGAAAATATTGTTTCATATTACCTCAAGCAAGTATTCCACACGTCACTCTGGCTATTGTTCTGTATGTCCATGAATCTAAAGCACTTGTAGCAAAGCTAAAATCTTTTTTTTTCTTTTTTTTTTGAGCACGGGGAAAAGCGTCAAGTGTCTTATAGAGCAGACAAGTGTTAAGTGCTCTGCTCGATGGCCGTGGTTCATAGAAGTGGGATCTGAACCTCAATCATCCGATGTTCTTGAGCTCTAAACACTAAGAGTGAGAAAATGAGTGTGAATGTGCATTTCTGAGAGCTCACGATGTGTTGATGCGTTTGTGCGCATGTATAGTCCTACTTTATGGTCCCCAGGGTGGGTCAAAGCAGCAGGTGACAGGTAAAAACCCGGTCAGGAGGAAATGCATTTTTCATAGGCCGGATTTTCTCTATGAGTAGAGCTTGATCTCGACCCATCATCGACCCCAGAACACACTCTGCACTAAAGCAGCACTGTATCAATTAAACATGCAGGACAAGGACATGCAGAGTTCAGTGCACTTTTTAACCTGAGGTCAGCAGAGGTTTAACATGAGTACAGTGCACTTTTCAACATGCTTCATTGATCTTGGCTTATGAAGAAGGCCATAAGGAGAAGCCTTGCTGTGGCATCCCAAGGGTCAATGTTGCTGAATAGACAATCCCTGATCAGTGGTGCTTGCGAAGGCACGTTTTTCCAAACGCAGAACCCACGAATGAAACTCGTACGATACATGCTACAGACATAAATGGGACCTCAAAGCATGAAAGTTGTGTTGTTATTTCTCAAAGTGATCATTTGACAAATTATTCTTAAAGGGATAGTTCACCCAAAAATGAAAATTCTGTCAGTAATTACTCGCCCTCATGTCGTTCCAAACCCATAAGACTTTCGCTCATCTTCTGAACACAAATGAAGATCTTTTTGATGAAATCTGAGAGCTTTCTGTCCCTCCATTGACAGCAGCGCAACTACATTTTGATGCTTCAAAAAGTTCATAAAGAGATTGTAAAACTAATCCATATGAATTGAGCGGTTTAGTCCAAATTTTCTGGAGACACGATCTCTTTATGTAATATGTCGATTGAATTTAGGCTTTTTTTCACATATAGGCTTTTATTCACATATAAACATTTATCAACTCACACATCAGTTGTGGTAAACGGAAGCTCAAGCATGTTCACTTGGCGTGCGAGAACCAATGAGGTTCATTCTCGTGTTACGCATCACGTTTGAGCTTCAGCAAAAACCAATGAGGTTCATTCTCGTGTTACGCATCACGTTTGAGCTTCAGCAAGAACCAATGAGGTTCATTCTCGTGATACGCATCACGTTTGAGCTTCAGCAAGAACCAATGAGGTTCATTCTCGTGATACGCATCACGTTTGAGCTTCAGCAAGAACCAATGAGGTTCATTCTCGTGTTACGCATCACGTTTGAGCTTCAGCAAGAACCAATGAGGTTCATTCTCGTGTTACGCATCACGTTTGAGCTTCAGCAAGAACCAATGAGGTTCATTCTCGTGTTACGCATCACGTTTGAGCTTCAGCAAGAACTAATGAGGTTCATTCTCGTGTTACGCATCACGTTTGAGCTTCAGCAAGAACCAATGAAGTTCATTCTCGTGTTACGCATCATGTTTGAACTTCAGCAAGAACCAATGAGGTTCATTCTCGTGTTACGCATCATGTTTGAACTTCAGCAAGAACCAATGAGGTTCATTCTCGTGTTACGCATCACGTTTGAGCTTCAGCAAGAACCAATGAGGTTCATTCTCGTGTTACGCATCACGTTTGAGCTTCAGCAAGAGCCAATGAAGTTCATTCTCGTGTTACGCATCACGTTTGAGCTTCAGCAAGAACCAATGAGGTTTGTTCTCGCGCATCAAGCAGGTTCGGTTGAGCTTCTGTTTATGTTCAATGATCAATGTTTATTTGTGAATAAACAATCTGTTCATCATATAAAACGATCGAGTCTCTTCAGAAAATTTGGACTAAACCGCTCAAATTCATATGGATTAGTTTTACAATCTCTTTATGAACTTTTTGAAGTGCCAAAGTTTCAGTTGATTAGCTGTCAATTGAGGGATGGAAATCGCTCAGATTTCATCAAAAAAGATCTTCAATCGTGTTCCGAAGATGAGCGAAAGTCTTACGGGTTTGGAACGACATGAGGGAGAGTAATTAATGACAGATTTTTCATTTTGTGGTGAACTATCCCTTTAAGAAATCATTCTAACATGCTGATTTGATACTCAAGAAACATTTATTATTGTTATCATCAATGAGGAAACAGTTATGCAGACATTTATAATGTTACAAAAGAAATGCATCACGGTTTCCACAAAAATATTAAGCGGCAAAAAACACACAATATTATTATTTTTACTGTATTTTTGATCAAATAAATGCAGTCTTGGTGATTCTTAACGAATTTGAAACCGTCAGTGTCTAACCAATTGCTTCCTCTGAAAAGTAGTGTGGATATATTCAAAAACTTCGCTCTTGTTTCACAGGTGAAAGTGTGGTTTCAAAACCGCCGCACCAAACAGAAGAAGGACCAGACCAAGGACACGGACAAGCGCTCGTCGTCCACCTCCGAATCCCTCGCCACGTGCAACATCCTACGTCTCCTGGAGCAGGGCCGCCTCCTGTCTCCCCCAAACCCTCTGCTGGCTCACGCGCACCCCGGCAATGGCTCTCTACTGGCCAGCCCGTCCGTGTCCACCTCCTCGGGGGTGAGCAGCACCACCACGGCTCCCGGGTCGGGCAACGGTGGGACGTTCGGACTGTCGCTGTCTTCTTTAGGTGGGACTCCACCTTCGCCTCGTCTGGGAGTGCCACCACCCTCCCTTTGCTTTACCATGCCTCTCCTGGGCGGCACCCATCACGAACTCCCATCGGGATACGGGTGCGGATCCTCAGCGTTCGAGCCCTACATGAGGATTGAGCGGAAGGACGGTGAGTTAGGTGGGAAGAAGACGGTTTCCTAAAAGCGTTCGCCTACCTTCTGGTACCTTCCCCCACTCTACCTGTCTCAGGGGTCTCATCTGTGCCGTGAACAGCCGGTCGGATGGAGCGGAAGTTTGCAAACTGACAGAAAGAGATTGAACGACATACTCGGATACTCGTCTCGCTGGCCTCTCTAGCGCTAGTGCCTACAACCAAATTTAGGCCAGTCGGACTCCATTCGGTAAGGAGGAGCGTTTGGGATGAAGCCTGTAATTAAGCATCGCTGTGTTCGGTGAATTTTGTCGTCCACAGGTTTCTTTTCATTTTTGCATTACATGTGTGGTGACGAAAGCCTCAGACCTATAAGGCCCATTCACACCAAGAACGAAAACTATTGCGATAACTATTGCGATAACTATATTAGCGTCCACATGAGCGCACGATTACGTTCTGTTTATTAGAAACGCGTCACAGTTTTGTCGTCTGCCGCTTTAAATGCTCGAGCTTTGTAAGGCAGGGTGGAATCTGATTGGCTGTCAATGTTTTTGTAATCCATCAGCTGGATAGAAATCATTTTGATTCCAAGTGATTCCAACAATATCGCTTTCCTTTGCCGATATTGCTATAGTTGTGGTGTGGAATCTGCTATTCTTTTATATTTATAATGCTTTTTTAAACTATATGTTTATCGTTATAGTTATCATTCTTAGTGTGAACTGGCCTTCATTGTTTGTGAATGATGGAAAACGCTGTAAATGTAACTGTAACGAAGGCAAAATTATTTCGCAGGTTTGTTTCCAAATGGGTGTTAAAAAAAAGAAGAAAAAAAATGGACGAAAAAAAGACATTGATCAACAGTGGTACGTTTTTTATGCTGCTCTAAATTAATAGACTAGAGGAGCTTCTTGTCGATATAAATGTGTGTCTGTATGAAAGTATAAGAATGAGAGAATTATCTGAGTGAATAACAATAACAAGGCACTGACAAATTTTGTGGCATTTACTTCATATTGGACCTTGGTGATGGTAATATTGAGAGTTCAATGGACAGAATTATAATTCATTTCGCAATGATGCAACACTAATTGCATACAATTTAAGTGTGTGAAAAATTAATAATAGCATCTAAAATTCAATGCATATGCGCAATGCACACCCTTTTAAAATATTTCCTCTTCGTAACACATGAAATTCTCAGTTGAAAGTGTTAGCGATGGCCTAATCCACTGGCTCAACATTATATTGCCCCAAGTTAAGATGCTTCCTCTTGTTGTTTCCAAGGGCTAATTATTGACTTCCAAAAATAGACCACCAGTCACTTTGAGTCTTTCAGCATCTGGGGCCGGTTGCACCAACTGTGTGTGCAAGTTACAACGTCGCCTAGTTTTGACGTAAAGAGGCGCTAAGTTGCGCACTACTAAACATTTTTGAGTTGCACCATTAAACTTAGATGAAGCGTAACTCTACATATGAACTAAATATTTACAGAAGCCTCTAACCTGTAGTAACAGTTGGAATAAAATAGCAGACTGACTGAACTGCATCAATAAGCTCTTGTTTTACATTATGTGAATAAACGTACTTTGTTAGCAGCTCTTCAACACAAACACAATCTACATACAGGGGCTAATCGGTCCGTGTTGTGCATGTCAAATGACAAATAAATGCCATTTCTTATGTTTTTTGTATCCGTTTTAATTTATTGATCCTTCAAATAGAGTTTCTCAATGTTATGTACATATAAAATAGTCTACCTATAATATTTTTCATGATTAAATAGTAATGTAAACTTATTTTTACCGTTAGTTACGTGAGGCAAAAGAAGTTCGAATGAAGGATAAACTGAAACTCACAGCATTTAAACTTCTGCTGACGTATATGAAGGCTGCTATTGGATCAGAGACGGTAAACGTCATGTTATGCGACTACGCATTACTTTACAGAGAGTTTACGAACTGCTAGCTACTTCCGGCCTTAAGAACAAATGGTGCAACCGAATTGGTTACAAACTAGCTAGTAGTTACTAAGCCTCTATGTGGATTTTACGTTCCAATTTAAGTAAGAGCTCATGAATGGTTGGTGCAACCCTACCCTGGAGATCTTAAACAATGTTTATTTATGAATTGAGCGTGCATAGGATCAGTTTCACACTATGTGCACATAATACAGACACCAGTCGCAGTTTACATGCACTATTGCTGGCCATTGCAGTACTATAGGTTTGGAAACTGATTCAAAGCTATTAGAAACTCACAAATAAGTACTTTGGTTTGGTACGTGCTTTAAAGATTACGATAGTTCTGAAATTTAGACATTTTTCCATCCCAATTTATGACTTTGAAATTATGTTAATTATTATGCATGCTTCTTAGAGTCATTGGGTCAGGTTGGTGCTTTATATGACTGCAGAATTAGAACCTACAATTAATCAGCATTCATTTATTACCATCACCCTTTAGGGGCTATCTACGGAGCCCCTAAAGGGACATGGTGATGGAAAAAATATGGAAGATGGGTGGGTGGGTGGGTGGGTGGGGGAAAAAAACATTTGAATGCTATTGCGTTCTTTCGGAAAACCAAAGTTTCTCGGGGAACGCAAAAACATTGACTCTCAACTCATATCCTTCAATTTAACATTGTTGCTCAACAGTTGTGCCACTTACAGCATGTCACCCCTAAATCTCTGACTCGCACTAACAATGAATGACTTCTGGTCATTTTGACCCTTGAAATGGCTGTCAGAGTGAACACCCTTTATTGTGAATATCAGCTAAAACACTGTACTTTCATCACTATCCTCTGACAGTATCATAGGTTGGACGTTGAAGGAATAGTTAAGTCCAAAATAATAAGTGTGTCTTTTACTCACCGTTGTGTCATTCTTAACCCGCATTGACTTCCATGGAATGTTGGATCTTCTATGGAACACAAATGAGAAACATTTTAGAATGCACAAGTAATGACTGATATTCCAAAACCTCTGACAGTCATACAGCAGTTTACACTTTTAAGTTGCTTTTTGAAGCTTGAAAGTGCAGTCCCCATTTAATATACTTGCATGGAAACATTAATAATAATAAAAAAACAATAATTACTGAGCAGCAAATCAGCATATTAGAATGATTTCTGAAGGATCATGTGACACTGAAGACTGGAGTAATGATGCTGAAAATACAGCTTTGATCGCAGGAATAAATTACATGTTAAAATATATTCAAATAGTAAACGGTAATTTCAAATTGCACCAATATCACTGTTTTTACAGTACTTTCGATCAAATAAATGCTGCCCTGGTGAGCATAAGAGACTTCTTTTTAAAAAATATTATTCCAAATTTTAACTGGTAAAGTAAATGCTCCAAGAGCAAGAAAGTCATGCAGTTTTGACACAACATGAGGGTGAGTAAATGATGACAGAATGGTCTTTGCTATCAAGCTGTAACAGATGTTATGTTGCACATTAGTGTATTGCTCTGCCATTGCTTTAATTTTAGCTTCTTATACAGCTTGATTGCAAATGAATCTTAACTTGTGTGTGAAAATTCTCACGGCAGTGTTGTTGTCTAACACGGTTATTTTCTATAAGCATCATATATAATTCATTCAGCCTGCACCGCTGAGACAGACACCAGTTCACTGACATTAGCACAAGACCTTAACACACCCGTACACATCACACATTTTCTTTTCTCACTCTGGTTTTTCGCTGAAATCTCTCAAAATGTTTCCTTAAACACGTGTCAGTCATTTTGTCCACACTATTATTGAGGGGAAACAACTAAATGAAGCATCTCACAGACAGCAGATTCTTTGTAAACGGCTTTAAAGAGAGAACCGAACATCTTTACCATCACTGTACAATTATATTAAAAAACAAAAACTCAACCCTTTAATTATGGAACATATGCTTGAAATATGTTTTCACAGAATGGCGAAAAAGCAAAGACAGTATATATGAATAACATTGCCACAGATATGATTGTAAAATGTGGTTTGAGTTTGCTGTGATTGAGTGGAAAGATGTTTTATTTGATCTCACTTCCACATTTCCTTCCCTTGTTAAAGAATCGGTGCTCTTGTTCCGGCACACAGATTATGTGTAAGTAAAAGCCATACGCTTTTTTGGCAGTACAGCATTTGTGTGACCGTGTCGCATCAAATGATGATGATAATAATAATAAATTACATAATGGCACCAGCTTCTCACGAATAAAGAAAACACTTAAACAGTATGTACATATACGAGTCTTTGCACAGTATTTTCATGTTGTATTATGTGATCTTACAGAGAAAAAAAAAATGGAATGGAAAAAAATATATAAATGCTTTACAATTCTTTGTCTCATTAATATTTGCACTTATTTAAGGAAGTTTGTGTTCTGTGGCAAAATAGCCTTTCTCATGGTTTGGTTTGGCTAAAAAGCCAAGATATTGTACAATATGTACATGTGTTTTTATTCATATGCATATAAATATATGTCTATGTAATTTGCCTAGACTTGTGTCTTTCTTGTGACTCTCTCGTTGATAAATCTTAAAGATTCATATCTATCTATACTATATACACACACACAATTATTTATGCCCAAAAAGTTCTATATACACAGTATATACATACGGTGTTATATAAACGTTATATTAAATACATGAGACGTTGCTCCTTTTTTTTAATAACAGCATAGCATTATGCCAAAATTCATACTGTTCTTGATATTTATTATATGAGTTCAGGCTGATCAGGAATAAACTTGTTCCCCTAGCCCTTCTCTCTTTTCTCGAGATGAGGGGGTGGCGCGGTTGTTTTTCAGGAAATGGTGGACAAGCGGACACAATATGTTTAACCACATGTTTAGTCCCCTCCATCTCCTCCCTGCGCTGCTCTCCCTTGAAGAGTCTCGCCTGGACAATCACCTCCAGGGTGCCAATTAAAATGATTGGCGGCTTTTCTTCACGGGAGTGGATGGATGGAGGGAATGGGGACTGGATGGGTGGCCTGCTGGTTTTGGTGTACGTAAAAAAAAAAATATATATATATATATATACATAGCAACAGTGTTCTTTAAGACAGTCGTTCACAACTGGTTTCGTTCCAGGACCCAGATTTTATATTGGACATCAAGTGGCGACCCAGCACCAGACCAAAACTGTTTAAAGTACACCTAAATAAACAGACCTATGGTCCATTTCTGGTCATAACCCACCAGTTGAGAAATGAAGCATTAAGATCCCTTCGAGTGATGGCAATGCAATCGCTAATTTGTTAACAAAATTGTATTGTATATATTGGACGGTTGAAACTCTGAACAATTTAACTAAAAATACATATATTGTTATTCTTATTATAGGAACCGTTCTTCCAGAAATACAGATGGTCATTATTTACTCACCCCCAAACTATTTTG